AGGGAAAAGGAGACAATTAATTAAAAAACTACAGTTTCTCTAAATATCTTTCCTGTTGTTGTTGCATGTATTCTCTGAGATTGTTTAAGTAAAAGCCATTAATTTTTAAAAAAAGCTTTTTTTTTCCTTGCTTGTGTGCAGTTGTAGCACATTGCTGATTTACTGCCAGTGGTTTCTTGTATAACTGACCTGCTAGTCCTATTTTTGGCTTGGCTTTGCCAAACAGCAGAGTATAACTGTAAGCCACAAAAATTGCGAAGGGATCGAACAGGTACAGTTTTGAAATTGTGCATATATTCATAGGGGTTAGTTAAATTGACTCCACATTAGCAGTGACTCTAAAAATACAAGCCTTACATATGTATTTTAATGTAACACAGATATTATACCAACAAGGCCAGTGGTACTGGAGTTGTTTAGTTAAGAAATGTGATTTATCTGTGTCAGCAGTAGGTGATGGGATGGAGGTTTGCAGCAGACCACCAGACTGTCAGCATTTCTTATGTTACAGTCCTAATCCTTTGAAAACTTATAAACATGAGTGACGTTACATGTGAACCAAAGTGCTCTATTGCCACCATTATATGTGAGCATATTTCCTAGACTGAAACAGTTTTTCCAAGGACAATACTCAGTGAAGGAGAGTCCATAGTAGGAATCCAAGTAAAGAAACTTCCCTGTTCTCAGTTCAGGAGCAATTTGGGGCTACTCAGATATTTTTAAATTCAGCATGTCAAGGTGATAACAGTTCTGTAGTATTCATATTGCTATCAGTCTTTTCAAATATGTTTATTTCTGTGTGTTTTTTTAGAGATTTAAGGGGAAATAAATTTGAGTGTGACTGCAAAGCCAAGTGGTTGTTTTTGTGGTTAAAGATGACAAATTCCACTGTTTCTGATGTCCTGTGTATTGGTCCAGCAGAATATCAGGATAAGAAGTTAAATGATGTGACAAGTTTTGATTATGAATGCACCACTACAGGTATTCAGAATGTATATTTCTAAGCACACTACAAATGGTTAAATATCAGAAGTTTAGACTCTACCCTTTCACTTCTGTGAGCATGACCTGGGGGGAGGAAACGGTTACATACAGAGCACTTCTGAGTAGTAGAACAAGCATAAAATGGGAAAATTGCATTTTGAAGGCAAAGTAAGTACCGAGTTTTTATTTGGATTAAGGGACAATGGGAGAAGAGCTCCGACTGTTCATATTCCAAAATACTTGATTATGACTCACTTTGTGACTTAATTTCCATCACAGAATACTTTCTATTATCTAAAATAAGGCAGTATAGTTATGGCAGATGAGCTTCCTCAAATCTCTGTATTTCACAGAAAGCAATGAAAAGAAGTTCAAATAATGTGACTATATCTGTTATCTTTATTCAATAGGCCAGGATTTAATAGCATCAAATGTGGCAGCAATACTGCCAGCAGTTCCTCATGGAACTCCATTAAGTTGGAGAGAAATGTCCAATAATATTCTGACTACTATCTTGTTTAGCATCTTGAGTTTTATTTTAGGTAATATAAAGCATGCTGAAGGAAGTGAAGAGAAACTTGCATGTGGTTATGCTTTTATTTTATGACCAAACAGCCGCAGTTACCTATCTCTAAATGTAATCACATCATATAACTGAGAGTACGAGCTGCAAGTTTTGTTTTTCATCTTTCATGGATACAGTGTCAGCACTCTGTCTTCTTTCTGTGCTGTAGTATCAGAGGTGTTCAAGTTCTCATCTGTCATCAAGCCAGCCATCACTATTAAAAGTCAATAGAAAAGTTGAGTACTAGGAATGTAAAAGAAAGTTTCAGGATAAGGGAGAATAAATATGCCCATGTTCATTCCTTGAGGATTGATGAGTCACAGGCTCAGGTTTATACCATATTCTGAAGTAAAGCACTATGCCCTGTAGGTGTTTCCTCCTTTCACACTTGGTGATGGACAGTACTCTGCAAACCTCTTTAATTCATATTAGTCTTTAGTATCACTGAATGATTTGGGTTGGATCATCTAGTTCCAACCATCTAGTATTCTATTTCTGTCTTTTGCTAATTGTGATCAGACTTCCCATCACTTGTGGTCACTGGTACTCTCTCTTTGTTGAGCATGACTGGATGTAGGATGTGATAACAAAGCAGTTTGCTTGGTAAAATGTGCATCTTAGGGTGGCTTTATCAGTTCATTGCATCCACTGAAATGCTACAATGGTAACAGGAGGAGAGATGGGAAGAGGTGCTGCTGAATTTAAAAGCAAAATGCCAAAGAACAAAATGGTCCTGTTGCTTCTTCACAGAAAAAGCAATTCACAGTGATCTGCACTTTTAACTCTTTTTGTGATAGCACCTCTCTGATCTTTGCCTAAAGCTGCAGGCAGGGATCATCTCACTGAGCTTTGAAGCTTGGTTTCCCCTTTCTTTACCTAGCTGGGATTATCTTCTGGAGATGGTCCTCCTCTCTTT